GAGATGAGGATCAGGGAGCTCCTCGGGGGCTGTGGGCCCTGAGTCTTCACCTCACCCCAGGGCGCTGGGAACCATGCTCTGAGCTTTCCAGTCCTGCCATGCAAGAGGCACAGAGAGGGCCAGGAATGGGTGCTGGGCGTGCCAGCCAGTGGGCTGCAGGCCACCCTGTGCTGTGAGAGCTTCACTTACCGCAGCTGACCCCCACCCCCCACAAATCCACCCGTCACACCCAGAACCAGTCTCTGGGCTGTCACAACACACCCTTCGTGGACTAGTCGGGAGAGGGAAGGGGACAAGGGGGAGCTGATGAGGATGGTGGGTCCAGGAGCAAGGAAGAACGGCTGGCCATTCCATGGTCCTGGTTAGGACAGCCGGCCACGAGGCCGGGCCCACCAACCAGCTTCCGCGCTGGGCAGTGGACTTTACTCAAGGTTCAAAACGCCTGGGACCCTGCCCTTGTCAGGTGCTGTGATGGTCCATTTACTTACAAAAAAATTTTTTTATTCTGAAACAATCAAACTTACAGAGTTGCAAAAATAGCACAAAGAACCCTGTTTCCCCCTGGCCCCTGTCATCCCAGTGACATCCTTTATAGCAAGAGGGTCCTATCTGGGAGCTGCATGGAGTTGTCCTGTCTCCAGTCGGGAAGACCCCTCAGTCCTTCCATGACACTCATGACCTTTCTGAAGACTATGGGCCAGTAAAGATCCCTCAGCTATCTCTGTGTGGTGTTTCCTTGTGACCGCTGGCTAGGACGCACCCACTGCCCCTGGTGACGCCATGTCCTTCCCGGGCGTGCTCACCTCGAAGTACCTGATGACAGAGGTCCCATTTCCAGTCAGGGGATTTGATCTCCGGATGGAGGTGGTGTCTGCCAGGTTTCTTCATGCAGACTTACATTTTTCTTTTGGAAATTAACACATAATTTGTGGGTAGCTACTTTGACTCTGGAAACCCCCATCCTCACCCCCTTTCACACCCTGGTTTTGCATCCATGTGTGTTTCTCACCTGAATCAATTATGACGACAGTGACACAGGGTGACTTCGAATTTCATCGCCCTTCTCGCTTTCTACTGTCAAAGACGACTTTGTCTTGTCTGCGTGTGTTTATCGACTCTCTCTCAGGCTTCTCTTCCCTTCAGGGTCCTAATCTTTATTGTGCTGCTCCAGGCCAGGGGGCCTTTCTCAAGCTGTTTCCTCATCCTCTTGACGTGCGCCTGTCTCTCCCTGAGCACTCTGGCACACGAGATGCTCCCGGCCATGTTGTCCGGGGAGCCCAGTATCTGAAAGTGAAGAACGGTGCTGGGACTGAAGGCAGAGCCTCGGTGTTCGGCCAGTGTAGGCCCAGAGGGCTCAGAGGAGGAGGAGCTGAGCTGTCAGAGGTGTGCAGTGTCCGCCCAGGGTGTTTGTCCAGCCTCGGTGCCTGGACCCCCCCCCAGATCCCTAGGGTTGACGCTCCGCAGAGGGCACGGTCTAATCACCAGCCCCTTTGCCCACATAAACAAAAACACCTCTCCTTTGCAAGGAACGTCATGTGGCACATTGAGATCCAGGAGGGGCAGCTGGAGGGTGTCCGGGAGTCTGCTCGAGCGCAGGCAGAGGCCACCAGGAGGTGCCTCCAGGCGCGGGCGGCTGAGCAGCTTGGCAAGGAGAAGGAGGCCTGGGCGAAGGCGGAGAAGAACCGGCGGTTGAGGGTCAGGTAGGCGGCCCGGCCTGCAGGCCCCTGGCCTCACTGTTCCTCAGCCCCCCTTGCACCCTCCTCCTCAGCCAGCTTGTCTGTGGCCCCAAAGCCGGAGTCCTGCCCTTTCCGCCAGCCCCTGGCCAGTCACTCTCACAGTGACCTCACATGGCTTTTCCTCCGGACACCCCTTCCCGCTTCCTCGCTCTGGCTGTCCCTTTGCTGCTGTCCTCGCTGAGGCTCAGTTCCCAGCACGCTTCCATTCCCAGGCTCCTGGGCAAGGGCAGGCAGGCATCCCCAGGTGTGTCACAAGCCATGGGACCTGGCACTCCTCCACTGAAGGGGGCGCCTCCTCTCACGTGTGTGTGTGTGTGTGTGTGTGTGTGTGTGTGTCCCCTCTGCTCCCCATCCCACCTCCTTACACCGCGCCTCCATCTTCATCCAGGGGCCCCACCTCCCACCTCCTTCAACCCCTTGCCAGATCTTTTGCTGTTTCCGTGGATCCAAGTCCCCCAGGGTCCTCATCCCACCCTCCTCACCCACTTCGTCCTGGTCCCTGGGTTTCCCAGGCTCCCGGCCCAGCCCATGTCCCCCTGGCTGAAACCTCCCCTAGTCATTTACTGCCGCGCTGCCTGTGGTGCCAGCTCTGCCCCGTGTCCCTCTGTCCCCCGCACATGTGCACACAGCTCCTTGGGACGCCTGCTCCCTCTCGGGCCGGGCGTGCTGGAGAGCAGACACCCCACATGGCTCTGTTCCCCCGCCCCCCGCCGCCCCACGTCACTGCAGGAGGTCCACGTATCTGCAGAAGGAGCAGAGACTGCAGCACCAGAAGCTGGTGGAAGATGCCAGGAAGAACCACAGGACGGCCGTGAAGTTCCTGAAGGCCTCGCTGGGCAGGTAGCGCGTCCTCTCCAGACCCTCCGCCCTGTCCATCCCGGAGCTCACCTGCCTGTGTTCCCAAATCCTCACATTTTATTATCAAATCATCACCTCACCATCCAGAAAAGATACATCTGTGTTTTGCGTGTTAAGCTGCTTGCCTGTGTATCTTCATCAGCCTCTCGCCCAGACGCACGTGTTTCAGACCCTGTTTCTGGCGTCTCCCCTTCAGCCACAGCACTCGGTCCACCACCTTTCATATTGTCACATTTAGTTACCTCCCTGGTGGATGTGACTAGCACCCAGGGCTCCTCCCAGCCCTGTCACTGCTGGACCCGCAGCCCAAGCCTGTGCCTCCCCAGGGCTCGCGAGCAGGTCAGGCAGCAGGAGATGGAGTCCCGCGAGCACCTGAGGAGGCGCATGGACGCCGTGCTGGCCCTGAAGAAAAACATCACCGCCAACCGGGTAGGTGCCTACGTGCACGTGCACATCCAGCGGCCTCACCTCCGACACCCTCAGGGCCCCTTGCAAGCCTCTAGGAGCTGTCCAGGCAGGACCTCCGTCCAGGCTGCAGTCTGCCTGCCCAGCCCCGCCCCACCCCGCCCCCCGAAACCCCTGCTCCTCGGGAGAGTCCTGTGTCACTCATTGTCTCCCTGAGGACATACCATCACCCATCCCAGGCTTCTCACCCACAGGTCTGTGCTGGCACCAGCCTGGCACCAGAGTCAGGCAGGAGGAAAGCATTGCGGCCCGGTCCTCTGGGGCCTAGTCCTGTGGGGAGAGCAATGACAAGGCTCCAGGGGACCAGCTCCCCATGGCCGTGTGCTGGGGTTGGGGCCTGCTTGGAGGAAGTGACATCTCCTGGGGCCTGAGGGTACACAGTTAGGCCAGGAAATCAGAGAGGGGGAATTGGGGAACAGCACCTGCAAAGGCTCAGAGGCAAGGAGCATGCCGGGAAGAAAGCCCGGGTGGCCGGGAAATGCCGAGGGCATGGAGGCGAGCGGGCCAGGCGGGCAGAGCTTCGGGCAGAGCCCCGAGGGCTGAGGAGGGCAGGGCAGCAGGTGGGGCCCGGTGAGCCTGGCCGTGACTGAGCACCTGTTCAATAGGAAGCTCCGATGTGCAGGTGTGCACACGCATGTGCTAATGCTGTAACTTCTGTGTTCTCTGTTCCCAAGGAAACGCTCCGGAAATTTCAAGCATGGGGCCAGGCCAAGGCAGAGCTGGCTGAGCAGAAGGCCCAAGCAGAGAAGGAGGCGATTCTGGCCCATGG